CATGTAAGTGAGGGTGGGGCTGTTTTCCCATTGCCTGGTCATCCTACTGAGTGTTAGTTTGGTGTTAAGTGGAATGGAAAATCAGGAAAGAGCTGAGGGTGGAATACCTCAGAAACTAGAGGATTAAGAATATATGAGGGCCCTGACTGGTTTGGCTCAGTGAATAGAGCACTGGCCTGTGGACTCAAGGATCTCAGATTCTATTCCGATCAAGGGCAGGTACCTTGGTTGCGGGCACATCCCCAGTAGGGGGTGTGTAAGAGGCAGCTGGTCAATGTTTCTCTCTCATCGATGTTTCTAACTCTCTATCCCTCTCTCTTCCTGTCTGTAAAAAAATCAATAAAATATATATATATTTTTTTAAAGAATATATGAGGAAGACTGCTTTCCTTATTGTATTTTGGCTTTCTTCCTAAGTACCTAGTGAACTTTACTTAAGAGCTATGAGAGAGATGAGAAGCTATTGATTGGTACAGGAGCTGGGAAGTTGACAAGCAGTTTTATTCCTTTATTCCTTAAGAGATTTTATACTCTTAAAATATAACTCTTACTTTGTTGTTTTGTTGAATTAGATCCTAGATGATCTAATTCAGCGAGCCCATTGCTCTCCTGAGCAGAGGACCTCAGTATCCCCATCCACAGATGACAGTGGCCTGAACAAGCCCTTGTTTCAGAGACATAACATGAAGGGAACTCTATAATCAGGAAACTGGGCACCACCATCTTGTGGCTGTGGGCACCTCCATAGTTGAGGGTGTGGCAATTAATTAGCATATTCCCTCCTTATTGGCTGTGGGTGCCACCGTCTTTGTGAGGGCATGATAGTCAATTAGCATATTCCCTCTTTATTAGGAGGATTCCCTCCCAGTGACATCCCAAAATATCCTTCCAATATGCCTACTTCTAAGATCTATTTAGACAAATCAGACTTCTGACTGAATGAGCTGGGAAAGAAGTGCTTAATAAATATTTAAAATAAGATTCAAAGATTTTGCACATTGCCTGGTGCAGTGAGTAGGGAGAAAATTGACTGAACTTGACTCTGATTTTATACTCTTAAAGTATAATTCTTACTTTGTTGTTTTGTTTCTCTTTTCTTTTTCTATTTTTAAATATAATTCTCCCCTATTCCTCAAATAACCACTCATCTATTCTAAGAGCTAGAGATTGAGTGTTCTCATAACCAGCCAGTAAAACCCGACTTTTTGCTTCTGTTGTAAATAGAAACATAAACACTGCTCTTGCATGTACTTTATAGACACAGCCTCTCCAGCACTTTCCTCCACTGCCAAAGGATGTGCACGACTTCTGAGTCAGCAGTCATCTACCACGGGACAGAGCAGCATGCAGAATGTTGTCAACTGGTAGAAATTGCACCGATGCCCTGCAAACCTGGCATTCATCTCCTCTTCCTCTTGCCTATTCAGGCTCCTTACTTCTCTTATCTCTTCCTTCCACACATTGGCTTTTCAGTCCCCAGGATTTCTGGTACTTTCAAGCTAGGTTTCCTGGTCTGTAAGGTTCCTGTGATTATGAATGTTGATTTTTCCCAGGATATTTGGGATATAGTATACACAGGGGTGGTTCATGAAGGGCATGATCAAGATTTGACTTTCAGAAATGAGGGAGATAACAGGAATGGCCCTTCTGCAATTTTCCCCAGCTACTCTAAGAGTGAATCAGAATGCCAGATGAGTCCCTTTGATAAATGAGACATCTGAGTCTACAGAACTGTTCCATCCTGAGTGTCTTTCCCTGCTGCCATTTGGCTTGCAAAATAGGAAAAGTGAGGCAGCCCAAGGGAATAACTTTAGTGTAGTCTTACCTTGGGTGCCTGTCACATTGTTCCAGGAACCAACTTACCTCTATTTATCTGTTGTCATTAGTGACCTGTAGGTCTAAATCCCTTCAGCTGGGCACTTAATACTTGCCTGCCACTTGGAAGCAGGCCCTTGCTCAGCTGTCTGGGAGCTGTGGCCAAAACCTGTAAATTTCAAAGTGTGTTATATCAACAGAAGGGTTAGGGGCCAGTTACTAGTGGAGGTGTTCATCTGAGCTAGCAATTGATTTGGACTCTTGGTGGTTAGCAACTCTTTGGAAATGAATATTTATTTCAGAGTGGGAGATAGCCAACTAAAAGATGTTAGCCTACATAGGAGAAGGCTTCTCTGAAAACAAAAGCATGAGACTCTTTTAGGGAAGTGTGAACATAAAGTGGGCTTTATGACAGGGGGAAAGACTTTTAGAAACACATATTGCAGGATCTTTAATGTGTTGATTTTAGCAAGAAAATTATAGTACTGAGTGCTCCAATTCTGGGAAGGAGTGGAAGGTGGCTGCAGCTTAGGAACAACAAAAAAAATCATTTTCTTTCTTGACACAAGGCAGAGAGATTTGACCAGGTGTATGAAAGCTTTCCAAACATTGTGACTGGTGGAGTTAAGGTTGATGATGAACACAGGTAGGATATGCAAAGTGGCTTGCAGAATGCTGTCTGTTTTCCAGAACAGCAAATAAAGCTACAGAAATATCCACAAAGAGGTCCCTTAGCAGAGCAAACACTCTAGGACCATTGTTTCTAGTCCTTAGTTATGACCTGTCACCCTTCTGCCTTTAGATAAACACTTGTTGTTGTTTTCCTGCCCCTACAGTCATCTTTTGACTATCATTTCTAAGATAGGCCTTGATTTGTAAGAAAAAGAATGGGCTCTTTATAGGAAATTTAAAAGATTTCTCTTTCTGTTAAGGTTACCTAGAATAAACTTTTATTTAGGGGAAACTGGAGGTGAATTCCAGTTAATTCCACTCCTTACTGGATTCTTGGACAGGTAGATATTGGAAGTTTCTTAGTAGTGTAGTTTTTATATCCAAAGCTAGGAGGGGTTGTTGAGTAAGTGATATATTTAGGAGGAGAAGCCAAGTCAATGTATTTTGGGTAAAGAATTACCATCTTTGACTTAACCTCTACAGTACATGAAGAGATTCCATCTATTGACATAGAAAATAAAGGGAAATGGCTCTTCCTTGTATTCAGTTATTAACTTTCACTCATGAAACTGAAGATACATTTTCAATTGATTTGGTTAACCTTATGATATCGTGGTGAAGTTTGGAGCGAAGTTACTTCTACTTCACAAAAAGGGGTTCCTTTCCTCAGAGGCCTACTCAATGTAAGAGCTTCAGGAAAGAACATGGATCTCTTCCCTTGTTCTCATTCTGGAACTTGATGCCTGTCTTCTGAGAATGGATTTCATTAGCACATACAGTTTGGTGGCTCCCACTGTCCTTGGGTTGGTTCATTAACAGTGGGTTACTTCTATACCTGAACACAGTGGATCAACAACTCACTTCTTCCACCTGCCCCCATCTCCAACAGTAAATCCTTTTTAAAGCAAAGTTCCAGTGTAGTCCTGTTTGCCACACTAACAAGTTGGAGATGTTCCTGTGGTGGACCATCATGACTACAGCACCAGAAATGAGTACTGTGACCATGAAGGTATTCTTGGCATTAAACTTTGAAAACTTCAGAATTAGAAGAGAGTCTTACTGCCTTGCCCTCCTATGGATTAGTTTTGGTCTTTGGCCCTTTGCCTCCCTCTTTCCTGCCCAATTATACTTATAAAGAGTGATGATAAATAAAACATGGTACAAAAATTATGAAAAAGACCCAAGGGAGTGAGTGGATAAAGTAGGTCCTAATGTGCCATCTTTCATCTTAAAGCTTCTTCCCAGCAAACACAGGATAGTGGATATATGGATAGATGTTTTTGATAAGTGGAACATATAGACTTCATCATTATTATTGTCAAATATATATGTGAGAAAGTGGAATGGCTATAAGATCTTCCCACCCTGCCATATACTATATGCAGTGGCAGGGCTTTTTCGGTCTTTAAATTCTTGCTGACTTTGATACTTCTGAACTTTGTGCTTTTTCAACTGCTATGACACTACCCTTTGGTTCTCTTCAGACCTCTTTTCCCTTGCCTCATAATCTTTTTCTAGAGAGCTCATCTATCTGTCAGCTCCTTACAAGTTTATGAGTCCCAGGTCTTATTTAAAGCCCATGGGGATGTGTGGGAGGGAGGGAGGGGGGTAAAAAAAAAAAATCAATAAAATATGTAAAAAATAATAATAAAAAATAAATAAATAAATAAAAAACTTAAAAAAAAAAAATAAAGCCCATGGCTCTCCTCTTACCACAGACTCCCCTTGTGTTCAGCTATCATTGGTTCAACTACCACCTGTATGCTAATGATGCCTAAGTCTAGGGTTGGGTCCCTAGCTACCTCCCAAGCTGCAGATTCATTCCTACCTACCTAGTGAGCACCTCCACAAAGGCAGCACAAGCATATCAGGTCTAAAAGGTAACTTATCACCCCACCCTCACAAATGAGTTCTTCTGTTTTTAATCCACTGGCCTGATGTCTTTCACTCAGTGACCAGGAAACCTGGGGATCATTTTTAACTCTTTTACTTTAAGAATCACTCACAAGCCTTCCTGTTTCACTTCTTTTCCCAGGTCCTACACTTCTTCCATGCCTGCTAACACTTATTTACCCTGAAAGACTCAGCTGTCACTTCTCACAGGTTCATCTTCAATGAGGACTCTCTCCCCATGACTTAGGTACTCTCCCTTAATGTTCCCAAATCTCTTGTGCCTCACTAATGACACTTAGCATAGTACATTTAACATTTTGTTTATGAATCTGTCTCACCCACTAAACTGCAAATCCTTTGTTGTATTAATCTTTCCTTCCCCAATACCTCAGTGCCTGGAATATAGAAGGTATGCAATATACATTTGTTGAATGAATGATTAGAATGCTTAGGATTTCCATTGAAAAAGAGTTATGTCTCCTAGAAAATATTTGTAGATAAAATTTGGATTTGCTTACCATTCCTTTTTCTTTATTTTTGTTAGATTAATCTGACAGTGTCAAGTGGACCAATCACCATCCCACTGCCCCTTTTGTCTGGTGTGCTTAGAGTGGGGAAGCATGGAGGAGAGTAAGAATAAGACAATGAATCAAGCACACACCCTCTTTGACAAGTTTGTGCAGGCTACCACCTGCAAGGGGACTCTTAATGCCTTCCAAGAACTCTGTGATCACCTGGAACTGAAGCCTAAGGACTATCGCTCCTTTTATCACAAGCTCAAGTCAAAGCTCAACTACTGGAAAGCCAAAGCCCTCTGGGCAAAGCTGGACAAACGGGGCAGCCACAAAGATTACAAAAAAGGAAAAGCATGTACAAACACCAAGGTAAGCTTTGGCTGTTCTGAGGCCTTGGGGTCATTGACCTTAGGATTTAACCAGTAAAAAAAAGATTTTGAGTAGGGGTAGACCTTGAAAAAGGGATCAATTAGAAGCTGACTGGGTGAAAATAGGCCAGAACCGGTTTTGCTTAGTGGATAGAGCGTCAGCCTGTGGACTGAAGGGTTCCAGGTTCGATTCCGGTCAAGGGCATGTACCTTGGTTGCGGGCACATACCCAGTAAGAAGTGTGCAAAAGGCAGCTGATCAATGATTCTCTCTTATTGATGTTTCCAACTCTCTATCCCTCTCTCTTCCTCTCTGTAAAAAATCAATAAAATATATATTTTTAAAAAAAATAGGCCAAGTCAGCCATGATTTAGTAGAGGAAGTCAAACCTTATACCTTGTGAAGGTTTATAGAACCATTATTCATGTTCATTTGACTGCTCCATGTGCCTAACTTTATTCTTATTTCATGTATTCATATATTGAACACTCAGGGTTTTAACTATTTCAGAATAACTTTAATGATGTAGCAACTTCTTTTGCTGAGGCTTTGTTTTGAATCTCACATTGATCAGCTGCCTCCTGCACACACATATACCCTGCCCCCTCCCCCTCACTGGGGATCATGGATACATACCCTGGCCCCACACGGGATCGTGGATGCAGGTCATTTAGCAAAAAAGTAGCCAGGCCCTGTTAGCATCCTGTACAAACATGGTTTCATGGTGCTTGGCAATTCAACTTTACAAAGTCATTGTTCTATACTCAGTAACTGGTAAGGTATAGATAGCATCTGCCAACTTGGGAATTTGCCACAGGCTTCAGACCTCTTTTATTCATATTTCAGAAGTATATGTTTTCTTAAGCAATGGCCTTATGAACCAAATTATTTCCTTTGGGTTTTTCACAAAATTCAGAAACAGTGTTTTCATGAAAAAGGTAGACCTCGGCAAAGACCTGAGCTATTCAGTCAGCTGTGCAAAGAAGAGTAGGTGTGAAGAAGTAGAGAAAGAACAATGTATTTCCTGCTTTCCTGCTTATATAAGAATACATCTTCTGGGAGAAAGCTAACACATAAAGTTGTAAATGACTTCATGATTATGTTATTAATGTTCTTTCATGAGCTTTAATTTGCCTAATATAGGTACTTAGAGACCTATCCCCAGTTGATTTGCATATGGTTAAATTTTTTACGTAGTTTTTTATTGATTTCAGAGAGAGAGAGAGAGAGAGAGAGAGATACAAACATTAGTCATGAAAGAGAAGTATTGATTGGTTGCCTCCTGCACACCCACACTGTGGATCAAGCCTGCAACCATGTACCCTGACCGGTAATAGAATCATGACCTTCTGCTCCATGGGTTTATTCTCAACCACTGGCCACACTGGCCAGGCTATTTAATTAGATATTTATCAGCAAAATTCAAGAAATTCAAAGTCATGACTTTAAGAGTGAGTTCTGGAGTTTTATTAAGGATAAAAGGAATTCAAAGTTAAAATATTGCATGTTCTGGTTTTTTTCTTCTGCACATACAATGCAAATTAGTTAAGCGTCCAGTCTCACCCTGAGTACTTCTGTAAAATATGGATTTTCAAGATCATTTTCCTGGACTTTCAGTCTAAAGATAAGATTTAAGAACTTTTTCAGCCCTAGCTGGTTTTGCTCAGAAAGGTCCCAGGTTCAATTCCGGTTAAGGGCACATGCCCAGGTTGTGGGCTCCATTTCCAGTAGGAGACTTTCAGGAGGCAGCTGATTCATGATTCTCTCTCATGGATGTTTCTGTCTCTCTCTTCCTCTTCCTTCCTCTCTGAAATCAATAAATATATATATTAAAAAAAAAAAAAAAAAAAACTTTTCAGCACATAAAACTTCGGCTCTTGGATGTTATCTCCTGGGAATCATTTGAATGAAAGACCCATTCCAGGACTCTAAGGTTGCAAGGACTATGTATTTAATAATATTTAATGTCTTGGACAGAATTCTGCTTGACTTAGAAATTTTCCAAAAGATCCTCTCCTGCCTAGCCAGTGTGGGTCAGTGGTTGAGCATCAACCTACCAACCAAGAGGTCATGGTTTGATTCCTGGTCAGGGCACATGCCTGGATTGCAGGCTTGATCCCCAGTGGGGGACATGCAGGAGGCAGCTGATCAGTGATTCTCTCTCATCATTGATGTTTCTATCTCTATCTCTCCCTTCTCTGAAATCAATTCTATCTAATAAAAGCCTAATATGCTAAGTGTCTGGTTGACAGGTCAGCCATTTAACCAATCAAAGAGTAATTCTACCTAGTAAAAGAGAAACATCCAAATTAAACATCATTCCGCCACACCCACCAGCCAATCAGAGTGAATATGCAAATTAACCCAACAAAGATGGTGGTTAATTTGCATACACAGGCACTGAGTGGCCTGGGTCCTGGGAACAACCTTAGGACCCAGGCTGCTTCTAGCCTGTAGGCCCGCACATTCGCCCTGAGAGGCAGAGATCCCAGAATCTCCGCTGGCCACTCCAAGCCTATGGGTGCAGCCTCTTGCGAATGCTCGGGCACCAAGTGGGGGTCCATGCCCCCCGTCCAGCACCCATGACGGGACTGGCTGCTGGCCTCTGGGGTGTGCAGAGACCCTAGCAGCCATCACTGCATACGGCCCAAGGGTCCCTGTATGCCCCCCAGCCTGGCACCCATGGTGGGGCTGGCTGCTGGCCTCATGGGTGTTCGGAGACTGGGATGTTCCCCGCCCCCGCAGCCCCCAGCGGCTTGTGCATGCTCCAACACCAAGCTGCGGTTCGCATCACACCCCCAGGCCAGTGCCCTCAATGTGGGGGATGGCTGCCGGCCTCTGGGGTGTGCGGATACCCTGGTGGCCACCACCGGGTGGCAGGAACACGTCCCTAGCCCAATGGACACAGTGTAGGGGCTGCATGAGCTGCAGAGGAAACACCTTTTTAAAAATATATATTTTTTATTGACATTTTTTACAGAGAAGAGAGAAGAGGGATAGACAGTCAGAAATATCAATGAGAGACATCAATTAGCTACCTCCTGCACACTCCCCACTGGGGATGTGCCTCCAACCAAGGTACATGCCCTTAATAGGAATCAAACCTGGGACCCTTCAGTCTGTAGGCCCACAGTCTATCCACTGAGCCAAACCAGTTTGAGAGTAAATACCTTTTCTGACAGCTCATTTGCTAAGATCCCTGTAGGCTGCCACTTGCAGTGTTCTTGGTAACTTAGGTTGTAAGAATCTAAGAAGGTGATCTAGGGTTTTCCCACTCTACTCTTGGAAGATAAAAAGGAAGGTCCACTACTTGAGGAGCTAATAAATGTCATATCTTGCTCTAGCTGGTTTAGCTCAGTGGATAGAGCCTCGGCCTCCTGATCACAAGGCCCAAGTTGGATTCTGATCAAGGGCATGTACCTAGGTTATAGGCTCCTCCCTGGTCGGGGCCCAGAAAGACACTTTGATTGGTTGCCTCCTGCATGAACCAGGTCAGGGTTCATGCAGGAGGCAACCAATCAAAGTGTCTCTCTCACATTGATGTTTCTCTCTATCTCTCCCTTTCTCTTCCATGCTCTCTAAAAATAAATAGAAACATATCCTCAGGTGAGGATAAAAAAAAAATGTCATATCCTATCTTGAAAATGCCTAAAGAAAGTTGTCATTTTTCATAGTAAAGGGACTAGAGTCTATGTTGATGAAAACACCTTGGTGACTGGCAGTGGCTGCAGCAATGAGATAATAGGGCTGTGTCTTCTCTTGATCAGCCTGGTCACCTGACATCCCTGGAGGGGTCCCAGATTGGAGAGGGTATGGGCTGGGCTGAGGGACAACCCCTCTGTGCATGAAATTAGTGCACCGGGCCTCTAGTATGTCAATGATATACTAAGGCCACTCAACCACTTGCTATGATGTGCACTGACCAACAGGGGGCAAACAGTCAACCAGTCGACCAGTTGCTTTGATATGCACTGACCACAGGGGACAGACAGTTGACCAATGACCAGTCACTATGACGTGCACTGACCATCAGGGGGCAGGCACTCCAACTGGTAGATTAGCTTGCTGCTGGGGTCCAGCTGATTGGGACTGAGCGAGATGGACCACATGCCCTGGAGCCCTCCTGCGGTCTCTCCCCTGCTGGCCAATCTTCCATGTCTCTCCCTAGTCCCAATTATGCACGGGTGGGGTCCTTCGGCCTATCCTGCACCCTTTCACAATCTGGGAACCCTTGGGGGATGTCAGAGAGCCAGTTTTGGCCCCATCCTGCAGGCCAGGCCTAGGGACCCAACTGGTGAATGAATTTGTGCACCAGAGCTTCTAGTAAAAATATATCTAAAAGCAAAAAGTAAAAGATCCTTTTCTGTTGATGAAAAATGAAATGTGGCCGGAAGCGGAAGTGGCTCCTGGAGGCTGGCAGCCGGGAGCCTGTGGCGGCGGCGGCCGCCGAGGGCGGGAGACCGGAGGCCTTCATGGAGAAATATATTGCTGATTTCCCGCCTCTGTGGATGATGTTCTTTGCATGCAAGTGGTCCGTTGTCTGAGCCGACTGCCGGGGATGGCATTCAAGTGCAGCATCTGAAACTTGGTCCCTTGGACATGCAGGTGCTGTAGAGGTTGCTGCCTCACACCATTGGGCCACCCTAGCCAGGCCTCCACCGTGGACCCCGTGAAGAACAGGCTGTTCTCATGCCATCTCATTCCCAAAGGCCCGAAGCTGCCCTCGCGCGGGGTCCACAGCTTCAGGGTCGCTACTGAGCGTCTCTCCGTGCCCCTTCGAAGCAGGTCCAAGGAGCCTGTCCCAGCCGAGTGGTTCTGCTTCCTAGTGCAGTGTGCATCTCTGTCCATGAGACCCAATGTTCTCTCCTGGATCCCAGACCCCCTGCCGCCCTCTGCGCCCTGGGCTTCGGCTGTTGGCAGCCTGTGGGGCTCAGAGGCCTGGGGCTGCGGGGCCAGGCTGCTGCGAGGCTGGTTCCCAGTGACATGGGGCTGCAGCCTCAGTCATCCTGTGTCCACAGCATGGCGGTGCCGACCACATGTGTTACAGAACACTGGAGAAGAACCAAGCAGCACTTAGATGGAATTACATTTATTATGTGAGGGTCCAGAGGAAATTGTCTCTCAAATTCTGGGCCCCAACATGGAGGAACTTTCCCTATTTATATGATTCTACCTTCTTTGTCTCCCAAATATGGGGTGTTTCTGGCCCCTTTAAAAGTTCTTAAAGAGAAGATGGCTGCTCAGGTAGACACCTAACCGCAGCAGCACACAACAATTTCAATGGAATACAACTAAAATGTAGAGTGGACATTGCCCAGAGCTACAGGTAGTCGACTGACTGAAAATTCTACAACAAGAAGGAAAGAGAAAACCAGAAGGAAAATCAGAGGAGCTGAAAAAGCCTAAGGTATGGAGCATGCTGCGTGGTGAGCGCGCACACGCGCGCGGAGAGGACGCAGCCGGAGAGGAGGAGAAGGCTGGGTGCCTGCCTGGCGTTCCCTAGCAGGAAGGAAATAAAAACCCCGGACTGGGCTGAACCCCAGAACCAGCAGCACAGAGCCCCAGTTCTGGGCCAGACCCTGGGGACCCAGGCTCGGGCAGGGGGAGACGGGGCTGTGAGGCGGAATCCCAGGGGAGTGGCGAAAAGCAGAGCCCCCGGAGTCACACACATTGCGCCCAGAGGACGGAATGTTGACCCTGATGCTGGATTGCCCTGGCGGGAAGAAACAAAACCTCCGGCGGTACTGAGCCCCAGACCCGACTGCTCTGAACCCCAGTTCTAGGCCAATCCCTGGGGACCCAGGCTCAAGCAGAGGGAGACGGGGCTGTGAGGTGGAGTCCTGGGGGAGCGGCGAAAAGCGGCCCCCAGAGTTGTGCACATTGCACGCAGAGGACAGTCTGTTGACTCTGATGCTAGACTCCCCTAGCGGGAAGGAGAAAAAAGCTCCAGACTGGAGGAACGCGACGAGGAGCAGGAGCCCCTGCCGGACACCAACCAGCTGGGCGCCAGCAAGGAGCCGGGCGACGGGGCTCTCGGGGGGAGAGGGGTGTGCCCCTGGGTCTTTGACCGCTGAGTGCGGGCCATGGAGTCGAGGCCGGGGGCTAATTCCTGGGCGGCGCCGACCCCGGCAACAGGCTGAAGCAGCGCAGGAGCCCGCGGAGAACAAAGGGGTGCCACAGGCCAACCTGCTGAGCTTACAGGACAAGGAGGAAGAAACCAAAGAAGTTCTCAATGTGAAGAAATCAAGGGAGAGCAAAAGATAGTAAAATTACTTAAGAAAGAACACAAAGAAGATCTTAAAAAATCAAAGACTAAGTCAGAATTCAACTCAGCAGCCAACATTGCAACATAGATGCATTTTTAAAATAAAAATTAAAAAAAAATAGGACAGAATGTTGGAATGGTGGCGGCCAGGCCTAGAATGGCCAGGCACAAGGCAGTGGCAGCTGGGCCTGGAGCAGCAACAGCCAGGCCTCAGAGCAGCAGCAGCCAGAAACAGAGCAGCAACTGCCAGGCCTGAAGCAGCCAGACCTGGGCCATTGGCAGCCAGGGCTGATGGGGAGGTGGCCAAGCCCAGGGTGGCCAGTCCAGGAACACCCAGGCCCGGAGAAGCCAGGCCCAGAGCAGCCGAGTCGGGAGCAGCCAGGCCCAGAACAGCAGCAGTCAAGCCTGGAGCCTCCATGCCAGGCTCGGAGCGGCCGGGTCCGGGGCAGCCGGGTCGAGAGCAGCCAGGCCCAGAGCAACAGCAACCATGCTTGGAGCAGCCAGGCTGGTAGCAGCCAGGCCCAGAGTAGCCAGGTCGGGTGCGGCCAGGCCCGGAGCAGCAGCAGCCAGGCTGGGAGCAATCAGGCCCGGAGCAGCTGGGCCCAGAGCAGCTGGGTCGGGAGCAGCCGGGCCCAGAACAGCATTAGCCAGGCCGGGAGCGACCAGGCCCAGAGAAGCCAGGTCCAGAGCAGCCGGGTTGGGAGCAGCCAGGCCCAGAGCAGCAGCAACCAAGCCCGGAGCAGCAGCTGCCAGGCTGGGAGCGGCCAGGCCCGGAGTGGCTGGGCCTGGATCAACCGGGCCCAGAACAGCCGGGTCAGGTGCGGCCAGGCCCGGAGCAGCAGCAGCCAATCCCGGAGCAGCCAGATCGGGAGCGGCAGTGGCCAGACCCGGAGCAGCTCGTTGTGGAATGGACCAGAGCAACAGAGGCCAGGCCTGGAACAGCTCGCTCCTCGCCTGCCCCTGCCCTTGCCCCAAGGCTGCCTCTCAGACATGGCTGGCAACTTTTGCGGGAACTTGAGGTTCTGCTGATTCAAGTGATGAAGGCTTAGATCTGGATGTGTTGAGTTAGTATAGGGATGGGGTGTTGATCTGTGAGTGCCGTGTGTGGGGCCTGGATGAGGTTGGTTGATCTATTTGGAAATGTCTTTTGTATGAAGTGTATCCTTGGGCATGTGGAGGTATTATTGATTTGAGAAAATGCTAAGTAACTGATTTACTATTTGAAAAATGTAAAGTTCCGAAAGTTTAAGGTCTCTTGCCAAAAAGAGGTTTTAAAGCTATCACCTTAATTTTAATGGAGAAAGGGAATGACAAGCCCTTCCCACCCAGAACAGGTAATCCAATTCCAACCAGCAGCTATGTCTAAACAGTGTGTCCATTTACACTTGAATGGCTATACCTTTTGATAGCCTAAGGGCAAGTTCACATGTAAACAAGTTTGCTCTCAATTCCCAGGGCAGAAAAAAAAAACAAAAAACAAGGTTTAAAATTATTAGATTTTAAAATTTATTCTTAGAAGTGTAAAAGTTTATTAATTAAAAAACAACAACAACAAAGAACGGAGATTGAAAAACCTGATGAACAATAATAGCTATTCATTGTAGTAGAGTGGGCGATATGGGAGGGGAGTGGACTGACTGTTTTTGGGGAGGGGGTAGGGAGGAAGAGACTGAACATAAACTGTGCACCTATGGATGAGGACAATGGGGGATCGGGAGGGGGCGGAGGGTGGGGTGGGAACCTGGTGGAGGGGGGAAGAAATGAGGAACCTTTGTAATAATATGAACAATAAAGATTGATTAAAAAAATAAAAATAAAAATAAATAAAATTTTAAAAAAGAAAAATGAAATGTGATTTTCAATCGTTTGTTTAAACTATGGTATGTTCCAGATCTACAGGGTGAACATGTGCTAAGTTGTATCCAGCACTGACAATTATGTCTTCTTTATTCATAGCCACCACCAGCTTTTCTTCAAACCATTGCAAATGTTCTGCTGTGACCCAGATTGGTTGGAAGTAGAGAGAATAGCCCTATTTGGGGGCTTTAGGGAATGATGATTATGAGATCATGAAATTTTTCTAGAAATGTGAGCTTTCTCAAGAGATGCTGCCTTTGCCCTGAAAACAGCTGTGTTTTTCAGTGTCTCATCATTGGAGCTGGCCCCTGTGGTCTCCGCACAGCCATCGACTTATCCTTACTGGGAGCTAAGGTAGTTGTTATTGAGAAACGAGATGCCTTCTCCCGCAACAATGTCTTGCATCTCTGGCCATTCACCATACATGATCTGCGCGGTTTGGGTGCCAAGAAATTCTATGGCAAGTTCTGTGCTGGAGCCATTGACCATATCAGTAAGTAAATCCAGTTCTTTTAATATCTGTTGTATAGAAACTCTGCTTGAAGTCAAAATACCTTCCATGTGTGGTTCTGTAACCTAGAATGATTTAACCACAAGGAATTTAGCTTAGGGATTTCTAAGTTAGGTCTTGGACTCTTATTTAGCACTTCTACTGGTAGGGTAGACATTGGGGCCAGGCTAGGAAATATGATGACCAGTGTGGGCCTTGACCAGACTCTGGTGGTTCTTAGTCCAGTAGAAGCAGAGCAAAGCATGTTGTTCTTTGAAATGTGATATGAAAGATGCTATACTGGTATAAGAACAAAATGCTGTAGGGACACAGGTCTGGGGAAACCACAGTTGTAGAAGAAACACTTCTAGTTTGGTGAATGGCACGTTGATAATGCGAGTTCTTTGGTTAGATGATTCTCATGAGGTTTACAGCCTAGGGAGTTCTTGCTATACTCTTATCATATTCAAGCTTTGAAATAAATACAAGTTAATGCAGATGGCGATTTTGTTTTCATGACTGTATATGTTCATGAAAATAGTGTCTACATTATGAGGTTAAAGTATGATCATTATTCCAGATAAACCTTGTCAAATAACTTTTGTTCTGAGCTCCTTTAGATGTGTCCTGTAAATACAGTCAACTTTTAAAGTTTGAAGTGGCTGTGCCAGTTTACCAAACACTGGCCACAGCTGCCACATTCTCTAGGCAGAAGAAGCACTCTTTTGGGCTGTAATGTTTAAAGCATCTTGGAACCCAGTTGTTTGCAAATATAAAATGTGTGCTAACATAGGATTTAATGAGTCGCTGCATGTGTGACTCTGAAGGAGTCAGGTTGTAAAACGTGGGGAAAATAATCAAATGATCTAAAAGAGGATCTGCATGTAGATCTGGTTTTAAGAGAGGACTAGTGGTCATTCATTCAGTGGATTTGTCTACCTAATGTGTGGCAGGATATGTCTTGGAGCTGTGTCCTAGATTTTTATCTCATGTGTCTGGCATCTGGGAGGTACTTGCTGAATGTTAACCATTTGTATGCCATAAGCATCTATAGACACAAGCAGGGAACCTTTTTTAAACTAAATTTAAAATATCATGGCAGTTGACTGGTTAAATAAATAAATCACTAGGATAATGAGCAAGATTTTCATTCATTTTGAACCTTAATTTCTACAACTATAGACCAGTAGAGGGCAGAAGAATGTTAAGAGACTACTAAGCTTGCATTGAAGTTCCCCTTCTCACCTTGCAAGCATCTTTGGAGACCAGTAAGGTAATAAGATGAAGGAGAACTGTCTGAAATCCCAGGAAGTAGTACAGCCCCCTTTGAATCTAACTGGAAAGCATACATGTGGGTGCACATCTTCTGCCTCTTCTGGTAACTATTGTAGGTTCTGTAAGTATTGTAGGTTTTGCTAAATAATTGTGGCTCTAACTGAATCAGGAGAGCATGGAAATGAGTCTCCTGTTGGTCACAAAAATTTCATGTTATCTCAGAACTTTTGCTTGTTTTAAATATCTTATCCAAGAGGTGGGAGTGCGTTTGTGTGTCTCTCTGGAACATTTCTTGCCCTTAGTAAAGAAAGAAGCTATGGAACATGGCTTGGAAAATGTCTCCTATTATAAGAAGCATTGAGAATCTGGATAAACTCTGCATTAGGTGGACAGGTGGAAACGTGAGCAGTGACTGCTAACTGGTATTCTTTTTTCAATGTGTCCTAACTTGTATTATCTTTTGTTTACCCAGGTATCCGTCAGCTTCAATTAATACTTTTGAAAGTAGCATTGATCCTAGGCATTGAAATTCATGTTAATGTAGAATTCCAAGGACTTGTACACCCTCCTGAGGATCAAGAAAATGAACGTGAGTTGAATTGGAAAAGGGAGGAATAGGGATAAAAGGGCATCAAATGGGTGAGAAAAGATGAGATCAAAGCAGAAAACTATAGGAACCTGTGGGTTGTTTTCAGAATTAGTTAAAAAGGGCTTTTCTATTTGTATAGCTAGTATCTTTTGAGGAACTTTTAATTTAATGAGGAGGCCTTTGAAATAGAATTAGATGTTGTAGGCACTTATATTCATTATAGAAAATTTTATGGTGGGAATGTTCCTTTGTGAGGGGTCTTTCTTTCTGTGGTTTGTACCCCATGCTTTTAAATCTACTGTTTTTGGTTTGATGTCTGCCTACCTGACTATCTTGAAATGTCTTAGATGTATTAATATGATCTAAGTGACAACCTTCAATTTTAATTTGGTCTACAGGGATAGGTTGGCGGGCACTGGTGCACCCTAAAACCCATCCTGTGTCAGAATATGAATTTGAAGTGATCATTGGAGGGGATGGCCGTAGGAACACCTTGGAAGGTATTGATCGTTGTTCCTTTTCCTGGTTTATTGCAGAGTGAAGGGTGACTTTTTCCAAACCCTGGGGTGAGAATTTGTGTCGAGAGGATCTACATATATGTACTACCTACTCTAATTTAATGGCAGCCCCAGCCTTCCCTAGCCAATTGGTACTTGGTTTACTTGTTACAGGGTTATCTTGTTAGGGTACTAAGAGACAAGCTATACTTTGAGCAGTTGGCACTGCAGAATTTAAATCTCAGTTTAATAAAAAGATGGCTTCCCTTTAAAAAAAAAAAAAAAAAAAGGAATTCCTAGTATTGAGTAACATTCTGGTTAGTCAGTTTTCAAAATTTTTGTTAGTGTGTAGGAGACTTTGACTTTTTTTCTGGATTGTTATAGTCTTTGATGGGAAAACACCTTATTTTCATGTTGAGAAGAGCTGCCCTAAAATTTTTCCATTGATAAACACCGATGTTCCCAAATGTCATCATCAATACCTCCTTCCTGTTTGAAGTGATCTTCCTTCCTCTCTAGCCAACTGCTGCCACATCTGAAAATTTCTTTCCCTCCAGGATTTCATCGGAAAGAATTTCGAGGCAAACTGGCCATTGCCATTACAGCAAATTTTATCAACCGAAATACAACAGCAGAAGCCAAAGTGGAAGAGATCAGTGGAGTGGCTTTCATATTTAACCAAAAATTTTTCCAGGAGCTCAGGGAAGCTACCGGTTGGTATCAGTATCTTGAAAGCAATAAGAATAGAAGTTTAAATAATTACTTGTGGCTTTCTCTTGGATAGTTTGGTGGGGTGTTTGGTCATTGGTGTTACTGTGTCATTAACCCATTGCTCTTTCCTCACTTCCATGCTTTCTTCTGTGTGTAATGCTTTCCATATCACTGATTGCTATTCTGATGTTGTTTATCCTTATCACAGGGACTGGGATACTCTGAATTGGGTTTTTACTATATTTGTGTGTTTGTTTTTAAGCGTTCATGCTGTCTTTTACCAACTCTTCCCTACCCCTTCCTCTATTCTGTGGCTCTAAGTGATGGTATTTAATGCAGTAACCTATTGGCTGGTAGTTCTCTGGTTTACTGAGAACCTGACTTTAGGCACTGAGTGTACTACTTTGTCTACTACGGTAAGTTCTACTTTGATCTTGAAGTAAACCACATGCTAGATAGGAATGAAATTTTTATATGATAGCTTTTGAATACATTAACTTAGATGTTCGATGCAACAAAAATGTACAGCAGATTCTAATTCTCTGTTTTCTAGAACATGATTTCTTTCCATTACATCTTTTTTTTTTTTAGATTAATTGAAATTAAAAGCCAAAAGTTCACTCTGTGTTTCCAGGTATCCAGTTGTCTGTCCTGTTCTTGAGATTCCCCCAGTTGCCTTGTTGACTATAAAAGAGGCTTAACCCGACCATCTTACTAAGGATTAATTTTTCTTTTTCTTTCAATCTTTATATATTTCTGCTTACTATTTATCATTGTTTTTAGGATAACTTAGAGTGTCGAGTTAACAGAGCAGTCCAAGGATAAACAAAGTTCCCCCCTTTTTTATGAACTGAATGTTGAGGAAGTGAGAATCTAGGCTCAGACATCTTTTTTACTTTCTCTTTCCCTGCCTGGAGTTTTATAACCCTGGTCTCTGTGGACCCATGTACGATCTCTCTGGCTGCCCTAATATACCTTCAACATTTTTGTTTTGCAGGTATTGATTTGGAGAACATCGTCTACTACAAAGATGACACACACTATTTTGTTATGACGGCCAAAAAGCAGAGCTTACTGGACAAAGGGGTGATACTGCATGTAAGTGATAAATTTCTTTTAAACCTCTTTTTATGTTGTACTGGTTAGTATGATCACCAAGCAAAAAAATTTTATTGTCAGATGAGTTTTCCTGCAAGGGAATGGAAACTAGCCCCTAACTCATCTCCTGGTAACATGTATTCTAATGTTTTTTAGTTAAACTTAAAAAAATACTGTTTATGCTGGGACCGGTTTGGCTCAGTGGATAGAGCGTCGGCCTGCGGGCTGAAAGGTCCCAGGTTCGATTCCGGTCAAAGGCATGTACCTTGGTTGCGGGCACATCCCCAGTAGGGGGTGTGCAAGAGGCAGCTGGTCGATGTTTCTCTCTCATCGATGTTTCTAACTCTCTGTTCCTCTCAATTCCTCTCTGTGTAAAATCAATAAAATATATTAAAAAAAAATACTGTTTATTATGTAAATTTTCTAATATAAACAAAAGTACAGAAGATCATTTGATGAACCCTCATGTACCCATTATCTGGCTTTCAGAATTATCAACACATAACCAATATTGTTTCACTAGAGACTGGAGCATGAAATTCATGCACTGGAGGGGGTGTCCCTCAGTTCAGCCTGCACCCTCTCCAATCTGGGACCCCTCGGGGGATATCCAACTGCCGGTTTGGGCCCAATCCCTATGGGATCTGGTTTGGGCCCAAACCTAAGGTGACCAGACGTCCTGCTTTTTGGCGGGACAGTCCCGATTTTTAACAATTTGTCCCGTGTCTCGCGGTGTTTTTTAAAAAGTCTCAATTTTTGGAAAGAATCTTTTAAATCTTTTGGACTTTTTAAAACATTGCGGGACACAGGACAAATTGTTAAAAATCGGGACTGTCCCATCAAAAGTGGGATGTCTGGTCACCTTACCCAAACTGGAATTAGACATCCCTCTCACAATCCGGAACCCGGGACTGCTGGTTCCCAACCACTCGCCTGCCTGCCTGCCTGATTGCTCCTAACCGTTTCTGCCTGCCAGCCTGATCACCCCTAACTGCTCCCCTGCCGGCCTGATTGATATTTAACTGTTCCCCTGATGGCCCGATTTCCCCCAACTGCCCTCCCTTCCTGGCCTGATGGCCCCCAACAACTCTCCCCTGCTGGCCCGATGGCCCCCAATTGCCCTCCCTGACCTGGTCGCCCCAACTGCCCTCCCCTGCCAGCCATCTTGTGGTGGCTATTTTGTGGCAACATCGCGCTACACCACCTAGGCTTTTATTATAGAGGATTCCTAGAATGAATTAACCCATTCCTGCAATTAGTTTGTTCCAAAACAAATCTCAGATAATTCAGGAATAAATATTCAGTTTAATTTTAGGTGATTTGACTTGTGGTTCTAGAGAATGACATTCCCTGAGATGATGATCTGAATAAGAAATCAGAAAATCACAGGGTAGAGAGTTCCTTAAGGAGAATTTCTTAAGTCTGATTTGGTCTCAATGCGAGAATTACTATCCCCACATGTGCAATTCCCACCTCAGACTCATGGCTGAATTTCAGAGTATCCTCTGACTGCAGGATACTAATGAATCTGGTCACTTTAATCTGAAGTATGCTATAGCCTTATCTGAGAGCAGTAGTAGGGGTGAACATATGAACATGTACCTATAGTACAGCCTCTTTCCACTTGTTACCTTGTATCTGCTTCTCAACTTTGTGGTCCTTTATGTCTATTATATAAGGAGAAACAGGACCAAGCAATGTGTGCAGCTCATTCTGCCAAGAGCATAAACAAGATGTATTTGAATGTTTTATCAATGAGAAATAGGCAGTGTGCCCATGGGTATTAGTCGAAATTATGTAGAAACTATCTGGAATGCCAATACTCTGTTTACTCTTCCTTTTTATTTATTTTTTTTAGAGGGCAAGAGCCATCCCTGTGTGTGCGCTGCCAAATACTAAGTTCATTCTGACCACTTACTTAATGGTGAACAGTTTCAAGGGCCAACTTGAGTATTTGTGTTTTGGCTTTTAACATCTTATAGTGGTAGCTGAAAGTACCATCAGGGGCACTTGGAAACCATAGGCCCCATTTTAGAAGAATAAAGATTTGGCTCAGTATGCCAATAACCTCCAAAATAGAAAAGTAATTTTTTCAGCCCTTTATGTGGAAAATCCCTTTTCTCTCATTATTGTTTTTCTTTATTGGGGGTTCTATAGAGCCTTTCCGAATCTTATTATTAATTTTTAAACTTCTCTTCCATTTTGAATATATTTCTTTCCAGTCCCCTGGACTGCTATTGCTCCCACCTCCAAAACCTTTTGGCACTGAAGCTTTGAGCTCTTCTTTAGTGTTTATGGAGTTTATGCAAGTTTAGAGTTTCATATGGTCCCAGTTGCTAAAAGCTATTTGCTATCCAGAAGGTAATAATTGCTGATAGTAACATAAAGTATAAAGTGCTTTTTCAGTTTACCATACTATTACTTAAGTTATCTTATTTAGTATTCAGAATAGCTGTGAAGTAGATTGGACACTATCAAAGAAGTAGTAATTTGCTCTAAGTACATGGAAAAGCCAGCACTAGGCAGCAAGGCCTGGTCTCTTATAGAAACAGCCTTCCCCATCCCCCCCTTCTTTTTTTTAATTCTTTGTTGACTAAGGTCAATATTTGATCCTGCTTCTTAACCTTGTGGTCCTTATGCCCCCTTTACCCCTATTCCTACCCCCCTGCTCATGCCCTCACCCCCCCCCTAGTGTCTGTGTCCATTGTGTAAGGTTATACGTATGCATACAAATCCTTTGGTTGATCTCTCCTCCTTACCTTCACCCTCCCCTACCTTCCCTCTGAGGTTTGATGGTCTGATCGATGCTTCTCTTTCTCTGGATCTGTTTTTGTTCATCAGTTTATGTTGTTCATGATATTTATCTTTTTCTGACTGACTTATTTCGCTTAGCAGAATGCTCTCCAGTTTCATCCATGCTGTTGGAAATGGTAGGAGATCCTTCCTTTTAACGGCAGCATAGTATTCCATTGTGTACATATACCACTGTTTTTAATTCACTCATCTGCTGGTGGGTACTTAGGCTGTTTCCAAATATTAGCTATTGTAAATTTTGCTGCTATGAACATAGGGGTGTATATATATCCTTTCTGATTGATGTTTCTAGTTTCTTAGGATATATTCTTAGAAGTGGGATCACTGGGTCAAATGGGAGTTCCATTTTTAGTTTTTTATGGAAACTCCATACTGTTCTCCACAGTGGCTGCACCGGTCTGCATTCCCACCAGTATCGCACGAGGGTTCTTTTTTTTGTCCGCATCCTTGCCAGCGCTTGTCATTTGTTGGACTATTGATGTTGGCCATTTTGACAGGTGTGAGATGATACCTCATTGCCATTTTGATTTACATCTCTTGGATGATTAGTGACTTTGAGCACGTTTTCATATCTCGTCCTTCTGTATGTCCTCTTTCGAAAATTATCTATTTAGGTCCATTGCCCATTTTTCGATTGGGTCATTTATCTTCTTTTTGTTAAGTTGTATGAGTTCCCTGTAAACGTTAAAGATTAAACCCTTATCAGATATAAGATTGGCAAATATGTTCTCTCATGCTGTGGGCTCTTTTTTTTCTTTTGATGTAGTCCCATTTGTTTATTGTTTCTTCAGTTTCCATTGCCCTAAGAGCTATATCGTCGAAGATACTGCTTTGGCATATGTCTGAGATTTTGCTGCCTGTGGATTCCTCTAAGATTTTTATGGTTTCACGTCTTATGTTTAGGTCCTGTATCTATTTTGAGTTTCTTTCTTTCTTTCTTTCTTTTTTTTCTTTTCTTTTTTTTTTTTTTTTTTTTTTTTGCATGTATCTGTCTAATTTTCCCAGCATTATTTGCTAAGGACACTGCCTTGATTTCATTGTATGCTCTTACTTCTTTTGTCAAATATTAATTGAGCAAAGTGGTTTGGGTGAATTTCTGGGTTCTCTATTCTATTCCATTGGTCTATATATCTGTTCTTGTGCCAATACCAGGCAGTTTTGAGAACAGTGACTTGTAATATAGCTTGATATCTGATATTGAGATACCTCCTATTTTGTTCTTCTTTCTCAGGATTGCTGCAGCTATTTGGGGTCTTTTTTTTTATTCCAGATTAATTTTTGGAAAGTTTGTTCTAGGTCTGTGAAATCTGCCGTGGGTTTTTCAATGGGGAATGCTTTGAATCTGTAGATTGCTTTGGGTAGTATGGACATTTTAATGATGTTGATTCTACCAATCCATGAACATGGTATGTTCTTTTTTTTCAGTGTCCTGTAGTTTTCTGAGTACAGATTTTTTACCTTCATTGAGTTTATTCCTAAGTATCTTTATAATTTTGTTGTAATAATAAATGGGATTGTTATTTTAATCACTCTTCCTGTAAGTTCACTATCGGTGTATAAAAATGTCATAGATTTCTGGGCATTAATTTTGTATCCTGCTACATTGCCTAATTCATTTATTAAGTCTAATAGTTTTTTATGGAATCTTTTTTATGTCATTATCTGCAAATAATGACAGTTTTACTTCTTTTCCAGTTTGGATGCCTTTTATTTCTTCTTCTTGTTTAATCACTATGGCTAGCACTTCCAGTACTATGTCGAACAGGAGTTGTGAAAAGTGGGCATCCCTGTATTGTTTTTGTTCTTTGGGGAAATGGTTTTAGTTTTTGCCCATTGAGCATGATGTTGGCTGTAGGTTTGTCATATAAAGCTTTTATTATGTTGAAGTATGATCCCTGTATTCCCACTTAGCCTTCCCCTTTTTCTTTTTGATATATGTAGAAGACTTGTTTTGGAATATGAAATCACTTTAGGGGAATGGGAAAAGTGGTGAAAAACTTGGTTATGTCCGATATGTGTAGTGTGGCTTGAGCTAGGTAGACTTGTACCTAGACTTTTCCACTGAGCCTCTTCCCTCTCTGGAGCTAGGACTATGCCGACACAGAGCTTTTGCTTTCCCGGGAGAATGTGGACCAAGAGGCTCTGCTGAACTATGCCAGGGAAGCAGCAGACTTCTCTACCCAGCAGCAGCTACCATCTCTGGATTTTGCCATCAATCACTATGGACAGCCTGATGTGGCCATGTTCGACTTCACTTGTATGTATGCCTCTGAGAATGCTGCCTTGGTGCGAGAGCAGAATGGACATCAGTTACTAGTGGCTCTGGTTGGGGACAGCCTCCTGGAGGTGAGTATTAAGGATAACAGCACTTAATAGTAGTTGGAAATAAATCTAGGTGCTTTGATTGTGGAGTGAGTGTCTACAACATTATACCATGTAGGTGAACTCCCTGTAGGAGTTATATTTTCTGATATATAGGGAAACATCACAGGCCACAGAGAATCCAGACTTGCTAAGTAGCAATGCAACATCCTTGATTTGCCCTTCTACCAATTTATGAAGCAGAGAAGTCCAGTATCTGAACAGTTGCCAAAGACTACCGTATTTTCCAGCGTATAAGACGACCCCCTAATTTTACAGTTAAAACATAGGTTTAGGCCTATATTCGCTGTATAAGACTACCCCTCACTTCCGAGGCAACACCAGTTCTTTTTTTAATAGATCGCCTCTCTGACTCTGGCCAATCTGAGCAGGCTTTTTACTAAAACAGTGTAGCTTCGGGTACAGAACATGTATAATTTGCATGCATAAAAAGCCTGCTTGGACTGCCTGAGTTAGAGAGGCGGTCTATTAAAAAAAGAACTGGTGTTGCCTCGGAAGTGGGGGGTAGTCTTATACAGGGAATATAGGCCTAAACCTGTGTTTTAACTGTAAAATTAGGGGGTCATCTTATACGCCTGGTCATTTTATATGCTGGACAATATGGTACTTTCAATAGCAATCTCTTTCTTAGTTCCTTAGTTTAGTTTCTCTCTTTTAAAATATAAATTATTTTAATTATTTGTTTTATATCTCCTTGGTAGCCTTTCTGGCCAATGGGAACAGGAATTGCCCGGGGCTTTCTAGCTGCTATGGACTCCGCCTGGATGGTACGAAGTTGGTCTCTAGGAACAAGTCCCTTAGAAGTCTTGGCAGAGAGGTAATGGGAAGTAACCAAGGGTCCTTTTGTGAGAAAAAAAAAAAAAAACTGGGAGTGATGAGTGGTTTGCTCTTAAGACAGAACACAAATTCATTCTTCTTTCTATCTCTCTTCCTATTTTAATTAAAGATGTTTTCTTATTCAAGAGAGGAAAGGCAAGATATTTATTCAAGAAATTGTAAAATGTAAAGATTATTTAAGTGTTTTTCTCTTATCCCTGTCCAAACTAAATTTGTTGCAGACTAATGGTATCTGAATCTTTTTATATCATCAAAGGATGGTATCTGTGTCCTTTATGACAATCACACAAACAAATACATAAAAATAGTACATTAAATCCTCTTCTTAAATTAGAAAGATGTAAACTAATGAAATCAGCGTGGTACTAGTGATACAGAATTTTTGGACTGGAAGCCAGACACTTTGTCTGCCTGAATCAAAGAATGAATCCACCGAGAGAAAGTGGTATAGCAAAGGAGGAGATTTATTGAAGAACAAGTACAGACTCTCACATGGGGAGAGGGAAAGAGTCCCACATAATGGACTTCCACTGAGTTCCTTTTCCCTATGGCTTATAAAGACTGCAGATCCTGGTGCCTTGATATTCCCTCTGATTGGTCACTATTCCCTTAGATTGGTTACTATAGTAACTCCTGGGCTCAGAGGTTAAACCATGGAACATGTGAGGTTCTCCTCCCCTTCTTCCTTATTGTTTTTCCATTCCCTTTGGGCTTTCTTCTTCTCCCTCTGAATAAATGGCTTCCTTCTCTTTATTTTGTAAATATAGACCTTTTGCTGTTCCCAGCTTTATCATTCTATGGAAATGTACCTTCCTGCTGCTCTGCAGCCTGGTGTTTTCCTCCATGGTCCCCTTAATTTCCAAAATTTCTAAAATTTCCTAAATCTTTCATATTTTATCCCTAAATTTCCTGTTTCAATAGGGGACATACTCAAATAAGAGTTGAGATTAAAAGTGACTTTGAATTCAAAGGAAGATACCAAACTGCTTGTAAACATTTCTCATGTTTTCAAATGTCAGATATTTTGAAGCAGATTATTTAAAATAAGGTAAGAATCCTGGGATTTGCTGATAAAAGTACAAATATCTTAACCTGAAAAACTAGAGAAAGAAGATTTCCTGGATGAAAATGGTAGATGATGTCATTTTTAGTCTGTTACTTAAGGCACTCTGGGTAATTAGATGACAAGTTCTTTTTTCATCTGTGATTCTCTTACATAATAAATATTGGCAAACTTGCAAAAACAAAACAGTAAATTATTTGCCTTTTAAATTAAGGTCAAACGTTTTTATCTCTGCCCACAGCAATGTTTTAGCTGTTCTCGTTGGCCCTTAACCAGGCATGTGGAATCACTGAGCGAGTGGGAATGGGAAGCAAGAGCTGATGTAGGATTTGAGGTGTTACGCCCAGACTTCGTGATCCCCAAGGACCAGCCGAGTCCGATGCAATAAACAAAAGAGCCTTTTCCATGCTAGCATGGGCTCTGTCCCACTCACACCGGCAGCATGGCGGAAGAGAGAGCGAATTTTGCCCAGTCTAGGGGTTTTACTCCTGTCGGTGGTGATGTCACTGCCTCGGCTAATCCTGATTAGTTGGGTGAGGGCTAGGGTTCAATTACAGAATGGAGGATAACTCCACCCTGCCTTCTCAGAGGAAACCAGTCAAGGATGAAGATTTATCATCCTTCAGATAATTTGGGGATTGTCAAAAAATAGAAATAGTCTCAAAGGAGAAGGAGATGTTCGTGATGCTTGTCATGCCCTGAGTATATTGCTGTGTTATTGCAGGGAAAGCATTTATAGGTTGCTGCCTCAGACAACCCCTGAGAATGTGAGTAAAAACTTCAGCCAATACAGCATAGACCCTGTCACCAGATATCCCAATATTAACATCAACTTTCTCCGGCCAACCCAGGTAAGTGTCTTCTAGTCAGTGATCTATATCTGGGTCCTTTGAAATTTGCTTATTAATAACAAACATATAGACAACCTTTTCCTTGAGTAGGTTCAAGTAGATGTCTCTCTGATTTGGTTGAAGTACATATTATTTCCTATCAACAAATTGAGCAGCTAAGGCAGAGAGTTGTTGGATAACTTGTCAGAAGATCAAACGTGACAAAAATTATGGATCCAGGGCTTTATTCCAGGTCTCCTGATTCAAATTGTATCTTGTAGGGAAAGAGCACTTGTTCACTAGCGAGGAAATGTGACTTCCACTTGCATTATTACCAACAGTTTCTTGTAACTTGGACTGGTTGTTTCACTTTCTCCGTGTACCAATAATTCCATAAGGGACATATGCACAGGTGACCTATGGTGCCTCAGCCAGAAATCTGAAACGTACAACCCAAGGTACTTAATAATCCACCGAGCTTAAATTATACAGGAGACAAACATGCAATGCACAAATCACTCACGGTTTATTTACCAGAGTTCTAGTGGGTTCCAGACCTCAACAGGCCAACCGGGGATCCACACTGACAGATGTGCGCGCGCGCGCGCGCGCGCGCGCACACACACACACACACACACACACACACACACACACACACACACACAGTTCATGGAGGACGTTGCAGCTGTGGCTCAGCTTTAGTTGAGGCCTCTTGCGATGGTTCACAGTCCAAGGCTCATGGTACGGGGCTCGCAGCTTGGGCAGAACTTTGATGGGTGCAGGTGGGGAAAGTGGAGAGCGACCGTCTGTGGAAGAGCAGAAGGAGCATCTCTGATCTTCTCTGGAGCTTGCTTTTTTTATGTGTCTTCAGTGCTCAGATGTGTCTTCAGTGTGTCTTATCAGTAGGTCCCAGGAGCCTTGCTATCTGGTCTTACATAGGGGGTACAGATCACTTTATTATTTTCTACATACAGGCCACTCAAGGGAGCTTATCAATTTGTTTACATTACATTTCATATTTTCAGATATCACACTTCAATTCTATACTTTAATAATTATTCTATATTGTATTTTATCCTTATTACTACTATAACACTGCAAACCTCAGTTTCTTTATTTGTAAAGTTAAAGTGATCATCCCTGCTACTCACAGACAGTATCATTGTGAGGACAACTGAGATTATTAGCTGGAAAGAACTTTAAAAGATAAGACACTTGCTACAATTAAAAGTTATTGTTGGTCATTTTTGTACTGAGTTATTTCTCAGAATATCTTATGCCTTATAATTACATTAAGAATGACATAGTTTAGACAGACGTTATGATAATTTACAGAGCAGAGTTATCCCAAAGAGCCCATCAGTTTTTCGAAAATATTCTGTTCAACATATTTGCCAGTTTTCTAGTGTAATTGTTTAGTCATTAATACTGTGCAAAAAAAAAATTCACATACAAAAGAATATGTACTTTATAATTTCATTTACATAAAGTTCAAAAACAAGCAAAATTCTTGGTGATAGAAGTCAGAATAGTGGTCACCTTTGGGATCAGAATATTGACTGCAAGCCTGGAGATGTTGTAAAGTTTGATCTGGGTTGTTATATGGGTACTGGAGTCTGGGAGCAGAAATTCGTGGGGTCCCTCGGTGTGGCCTGTAGGATGGGGCCAAAACCTGCTCTCCCGGAGGGGTCCTGGATTGTGAGAGGGTGCAGGTCAAGCCCAAGGACCCCAACAGTGGGCCAGGAGGAACCAGGGAGGGCTCCAGAGCCTGTCTTGCTCAGTCCAGATTGGCTGGACTCCAGCAACAGGCTAACCTACCAGTTGGAGCGTCTGCCCCCTGGTGGTCAGTGCACATCATAGCAAGTGGTTGACCAGTCAGCTCTCTGCCGCATGGTGGTCAGTGCATGACATCACAAGCAGTCGAACTGACTTAGCATATCATTAGCATGTTATACTTTGATTGGTTGAACGGATGGCTGGACACTTAGCATATTAGGCTTTTATTATATAGGGCATTTATTTACAAAAATGCATCATTTTACTATATGTATTATCAATTAAAAAGTAGATTTTGTCCAGCCAGTTTGGCTCAGTGGTTGAGCGTAGAGTGAACCAAGAGGTCACAGTTCAATTCCAGGTCAGGGCACATTCCAAGGTTGTAAGCTTGATCCCCAGTAGGGGGCATGCAGCAGGCAGCTGATAGATAATTCTGTCCATTCATTGATGTTTGTCTCTCCTGAAATCAATTAAAAAAAAATTTAAGTAAAATTTTTTTTGAAAATAGGTCCAGCAAAAACTATCAAAAGGACTTCTATAGCTGAGTAGTGAATTTTTAGCACAACTTATGTATTTATTTATATGTAACCTAGGTCATCATCATAACTTTTATCTAAACTTTGCCCAGTCTGCTATTACAGACTTTCATCTGTCATTCTCTTCTCAGGTGGGAATTTGTTACTTGTTTCATTTTCCTTCTTTACAACGTTTTACATTTCTGCCAGGTGCGCCATTTATATGATACTGGAGAAACGAAAGATATTCATCTGGAAATGGAGAACCTGGTGAATTCCCAAACTACCCCAAAGTTGACTCGCAATGGTGAGTTCTGATAATGCCCTTTTGAAATATAGATAACCTATCCAGAGACATCTGTAATTTATTGAGCTCTTAGTGTACATAGTACTGCATAAGGCAGTGGTTCTCAACCAGCCGTGATTTTGCCCCTTAGAGGACATTTGGTAGTTTCTGGGGACATTTTTTAATGTCTTGAGTTGAAAAGGATATTACTAGCATCCAAGGATACAGCTAAACCTCCTAAGGTACACAAATCAGCTCTCAGCCAAAAATATCAGTTGTGTCAAGGTTAAGAAACCTTAATCTAAGGTATTATGAGGAAATAAAGAGAAACCAGATAGAGATGCTATTGATAAAGAGAAAAGGGCAGCATGTGGGTACATACACATGCCAGCTAAGGTTTTGGGGGTAAGGCTTTATGGAAGAAATAGCGGCATTTTAATTGAGTACTATGATATTGCCAATGAAAGGTTCAAGGCGCAGGAAACAGGAGATGGAGACCAAGACATATTAAAGGGAGGTTTATTCTGCAGTAACAAGCGAGATTCATTACGGAGGAGGTAGAGAATTGGAGGAGAGGGAGGAGGAGAATGAGGGACTCAACCGGGCTGTCTCTGCAGACAGAGAGTGGTGGGATGGGGGCGGGGAGAAGGGGGGTGAAAAACAGCGGCAATGGAGGGGTTGAGATGGCCTTTTCAGGGAACAGAAAGGGTAGGGCCCAAGGATGAATGGGAAAGGATGGGTCCCAGGGCAGTCGGCACACGCTGATTGGAGGTTCAATGTCTCACGGTTGTCTCGGCTGCAGACTCTGCTAAAGTCATAACTCCACCCACCAGTTGGGGTGGAGGGATCTATCAGCCAGGATACAGTGACAGAGATAAAGGCCATTTCATATTTTGTGTGTATTGACGGGCCCCTGAAGATTTGTTTTAAAGGAGAGTGATGTGAGTATACCTCTACATGTAAGATGGCATGGAGAAGGCAAATCGCATTGTAATAGTCAGCTAACAGTTGTAAAGGCCTAATTCTGGTATGGATATTGAGGATGGAAACAGGACAGTGGACCATAATTAGACGAAATATCACGTTAGGGTCAGGTACAACTGGGTCCCAGTCCAATCTTTGCCATTTGTGAAGTGTGTGGTAATGAGCAGGTTATATAGTATCTCTGAACTTCAGTTCCTTGTCTATGAAATAAAGGTAACAAACACCTACCTTGCATTATGGTCATAAGAATTTTGTGACATGCATAGTTGGTTTATCATGATGCCTGACAACTGTGTTCTTCCTACCTTCAATAATTTTTCAAACTGAATATGTGTGGTACAAAGAGGATCCCATGTTAATGCTACCAAGTGACAACACTTTCATTAATATTTTTTTTGTTCTTTTAGAGTCTGTACCTCGTTCAAGCAAACTGCTTTGTTGGTGCCAAAGGCAGACAGATGGCTATTCAGGAGTCAATGTGACAGATCTCACTATGTCTTGGAAAAGTGGTCTGGCCCTATGTGCAATTATCCATAGGTACCGCCCTGATCTGATGTAAGTTGTGACCAGACTTTCATTTTATATTCCCTAAGGATCTTACAGTACCTTGCTATCAAGTAGCCAAATTTGTACTTTTTTCCTAGAACAAAATGCATAGTAAGATACTTTCTCTATAAAGCAATGATTAATTTAGACTTAATTACATTGAAAACTCTGAATGTTAAGTATTATGTAGTTCAACAAAGAAATGATTAGCTGAGTTTTTAACAGCATTCAAAAGGTTAAAAATTGGTTTTAACACCCACCTGAGTGTATTAACTTTACATAATGGAAAACTCTGTTTACTGGCCACAGGTTGAACTCTTCATTTCAGCCAACTGTCTCTCAAATGTTATTGGTCATAAGGAAAACCTGGTTAGAACATTTGGCTGGCTGATGGCAAATGTGTCAGGCACTACCAACTAGTGCTTCCCAGCTTTATAATGGTTCATTCGTATTCTCTTATGTTAAGGATTGCACTTCCTGCTAAGATACTTTGTCAGTCCTACAAAACTCAGATCATCTTACCCACCTACACCAGTAATATCTCCTATTTTTACCATTCTTGATTCATCCAAGTGCAAAATCAGTACAATAGGATGACCCCAAGTCACCTGTGGATACTAGTGCACTCAGGTTTCCACCAGGGGCATTCTCCCAAACAAGAATATTTGGAAACAGAAGCAGAGCACGTTGAATTATTTTGGCTGCCTGTTCTTTTATAAGGTTCACTTAAAGGCCCAATTTTGGTGAGTTTATTTTAATAATTCCTTAAGAAATCATAAAGGACCTAGTTCCTATTTATATTGGATTATGAGTTAATGAGGCAAGAGCTGTAAAAATAGTCTTTGTATAATGTGATTTAGGAATGGGGATTTCTGATTGGTTTGGATAAAGGTAAGTGACCTCTATGATCTTCTACCTTAGTTTATGCACAGATGACAGTAGGGCTTACCCCACCAGGAAAAAGGAAAAGAAGGTGTAAGATTGGAGTTGCTCAAGGATTTACTAAGTGTACTGGTTAATCGGATTTTTTTCAATAGATGGAGTTACACATATGTTGATATATATGCGATTTGATATGCATGCTATTTTGTTGTAATGACAAGTTTCAAAACTTCATATGTCAAATTTTCTGAAGGTGTTAACATCATAAATACTTTTATGCTTAAAAATATTGAATTTTGTGCTAAAAAAAGAGTATTTGTGGGAAGTTTTAATTCATTACTTTATTTTGAAGAAAAGTGCTGCTGAATATTTCGGGAAGCTTATGGTGAACATGCTCCATCTGAAGATACTTGTGTGAATGCTGGTTTAAACACTTTAAAAGTGATGATTTCTATGTGAAAGACAAAGTATGTCTAGGTCAATCGAAAAAGTTTGAAGACAACAATTACAAGCATTGTTGGATGAAGATGCATGTTAAATTCAAAAACAACTTGCAGAAAGATTAAACGTTGCTCAGAAAATAATTTCAGATTGTTTACATCAATAGGAAAGACTTTAAAGGAAGGAAAATGGGGTGCCACATCAATTGAACGAAAGACAAATGGAAAGCCAAAAAATCATCAGTAAAATGTTGCTTCAATAGCACAAAAGAAAGTAATTTTTGCATCAACTTGTGACTGGTGATGAAAAGTAGATTTATTTTGAGAATCACAAATGCACAAAATCATGGGTTGATCCAGGTCAACCATCAACATCTACTACAAGGCCAAATTGCTTTGGAAAGAAGACAATGCTCTGCATTTGATGCGATCAGGAAGGTGTGGTGTATTATGAGCTACTAAAACCAAGTGAAACCGTTAATACTGATCGCTACCAATAACAAATAATCAATTTAACCATGCTTTGATCATGAAAAGGTCAGAATGTGCCAGAGGACAAGGCAAAGTAGTTTTGCTTCATGATGATGCACTGTCACACAGTTTAAAACCAGTAAAAGACACATCAAAAGATCTTGCCTGAGGGGAGATCTAAGATGTCGGCGTACGTAAACATCTGAACTGCCGTGCACAACAATTTCAAAATTAAAACTAGCCGAAATTGGCTTGGCTCAGTGGATAGAGCGTTGGCCTGTGGACTGGAAGGTTCGATTCAGGTCAAAGGCATGTACATTGGTGAGGGCACATCCCCAATAGGGGGTGTGCAAGAGACAGCTGATCGATGATTCTCTCTCATCGATGTTTCTTACTAACCCTCTCTCTTCCTCTCTGTAAAAAATAAATAAAATATTTTTTTTTTTAAAAGAAAAACAACTAAAACTAAAAGGCAAAATGTCTATCACCCAGAACCACGTGAAAGCTAGGTGAGTGGAAGTTCTACAACAGAAAGAGAAAAGAACATTCAGTGCATAAACGCTGAAAAACTGAGGTACAGGGGCGCGCACGATACATCTGCGACAGTTCCTGGCTGGCAGAGGGCGTTGCTTTCTTCAACCCGAAGAGAGATAAGCTCCTAATCTCTCTGAAATCCAGTTTCTGGGGAGAAGCTAGACTGTTTGCCATCGGGTCGGAAAGTGAGGGTGGCTTGCTTGCAGAGCTGTGCACAGGAATAATTGTTTGCTGTGCTGGGACTCGAGACACGGGGACGCGGTCAGAGAGGCAGAGACGGTGGATGGGCAGCCATCGCTATTGACCATGCTCCAACCTAGTGATGCCCTGAGCTACGCTCCACACAATATACAAACAAACCCAAGCTCCAAGCAGTGGCTTTTGCATATGAATGGCCTCTATTGCAGTTTAACCTAGCAAATTTGCAACCTGGTGCAGACAGCTCCAAGCAGGAAGGAGAGGACTGTGGTTCTCGCTGTAGCTCCTGCAGGGTGGCCTCAGACAGTAGCTGAACTGCTCCCCATTGGAGATCCAGAAGCCAGTGTATCTAGTGGTCAGTGTGAGACACCAGATTTCAACTCCTCACATCCATAAGTGACACATTTGGGAGGCGGACTCAGTGAGCACCAAAGCCCCACTAAAACAAGGCCTGCACCATAAGCATGTCTGCAGCGCAGCAGTTCTTCTGTTATAGACACAGCAGGTCCCCACAGCCAATTGGCCTGGAGGTCAATTCCTCCCAGTGTACCAACAGCAATAAAGGCTTAACTACACCAAGACTTTGCACTCAGCCCACAAAAGGGTGTACCAAGAGTGACCATCTTGAGTGATTGAGGAACTGAGCTACTGGCCCCTATAGGTCATCTACCTCACAAAGCCACTCCATCAACACAGGGAGGCAGCCAAAATGCGGAGACATAGAAGCATGCCACGAATGGGAGAGATGGAGGAAAGTAAACTACTGGATGACACAGAGTTCAGAACCACATTTATAAGGTTACTCAAGAATCTTCTAAAAACCACTGAGAACTTGGAGACCTTCAAGGACCTTAATGAGAATACCAAAAAAAATGGAAAAGAACCAGTCAGAAATTAAGCATACACTGTCTGAAATAAAGAATATACATAAACTCAACTGTAGATCAGTGTACCCCAAGAATCAAACCAAAGATCTGGAATATGAGGAAGCAAAAGACACCCAACCAGAGAGGCAGAAAGAAAGAAGAATCCAAAAGTGTGAGGATAGTGTAAGGAGTCTCTGGGACGGCTTTAAGCGTATGAACATCTGGAGTTTTGGGGTGCCAGAAGAAGAGAGTGAGCAGGATATTGAAAGTTTATTGGAAGAAATAATGACAGAAAACTTTCCCTACCTGGTGAAATAGACTTACAAGTTCAGGAAACACACAGAACCCCAAACGAGGAATCCAAAGAGGACCACACCAAGACACATCATAATTAAAATGCCAAGGGCAGCCGGGACCGGTTTGGCTCAATGGATAGAGCGTCGGCTTGGGGACTGAAAGGTCCCGGGTTCGATTCCGGTCAAGGGCATGTACCCTGGTTGCGGGCATATCCCCAGTAGGGGGTGTGCAAGAGGCAGCTGATCGATGACTCTCTCTCATCGATGTTTCTGACTCTCTATCTCTCTCCCTTCCTCTCTGTATAAAATCAATAAAATATATTAAAAAAAAAAAAAAAAAAAAAAATGCCAAGGGCAAAAGACAAAGAGAGAACCTTGAATGCAGCAAGAGAAAAAGTTACCTACAAAGGAGTACCCATACAACTGTCAGCTGATTTCACAACAGAAACTATGCAGGCCAGAAGGGAGTGGTTAGAAATATTCAGTGATGAACAGCAAGAATCTACAACCAACATTATTCTACCAGCAAAGCTACGGTATCATTCAGAATTGAAGGTCAGATAAAGAGCTTCACAGATAAGAGAAATCTAAAGGAGTTCATCACCACCAAACCAGAATTACATGAAATGCTGAAGGGTATTCTTTAAGAAGAGGAAGAAGAAGAAAAAGATAAAGGTAAAAACTATGGACAACAAAAAGTCATCAAATATATACCTACCAACAAGTGAATCTAAAAATCAAGTGAATAAAAAATCTGAAGAACAGAATACGCTGGTGAATATAATAGAATCAGGGACATAGAAAAGGAGTGAACTGACAATTCTCAGTGGGGAGGGGTTTGAGGAGTGCGGGAAGAGATTGGACAAAAATCTTATACCTGTGGATGAAGAAAGTGGTGGGGAGTAAGGGTGTGTGGTGGGGAATCAGGTGGAGGGGAGCTATGGGAGGTGGGGCAGGAACTCCTGTAATAATCTGAACAATAAAGATTTATTATAAAAGGAAAAAAAAGAGCTTGCCTAGGAAATATTAACCTACCCGCTGTATTCGCCAGACCTTGCTCCTTCAGATTACCACTTGTTCCAATTAATGGTGCACGCGCTTTCTTAGCAGCACTGAAGAAGTGGAAAATTGGGTGTCTGAATGGTTTGCCTCAAAATAAGAAAAGTTCTATTGGGACGGTATCCACAAATTACCTGAAAGATGGGGGAAATGTGTAGCTAGCGATGGACATTACTTTGAATAAAGCACATTTGATGTTTCTCTTAAAATTATCATGTTTTCTTTTATTACAAAATTGCCATTATTAACTGGTACACCAAATAGGCTGACACAATGAGCAAGTAGGAGGGAAGTTTATTAAAGGAAATGGGGGATGGAGCCATAACCCGGGAAGGTTAGGACTCAGCCCTCACTGTCCTTGGGGTTGAATTTTATGCACAAATATCGCAAGGGGGGTGTGAGTGTTTTAGTCTGCTTAGATGGAGTTCATTGTGTTTCAGACTGGTGCTAGCCATTGAAGCTGTGGGCTGTGGGCTGTGGGCTGTAGGCAGCCATTGTTATCTTTGGCCTGCTGTCTCATCACCCTCAGGTGCGGCTGCCTCCTGGTATGCTGGATAGGGTGATTGCAGGCTGTTCCGTGAAATGAGGCTGGGGCCACTTTCTCGTTCAGGACTTTCTGGTCCGTCTGAGCCAAATGCCCTCTGCTGGCCTGTTAGGAGAAAGTGGGAGAGCTTGAGAAAGATTGTGATAAATGACAAAGAAGTGCTCAAAAGAAGGGCCGGGTGAATCAGTTCTATTCCCAAAAGAAGACAGTACAAAAAAAAAAAAAAAAGATGTAGTAACTGACTTCAAAAATTGGTTCTTAACACCCACCTGGGTATATTAACTTCATGAACTCTTTGTTTCAGCCAACTATCTCTCAAATGTTATTGGTCATAAGGAAAACTGGCTAGAACATTTGGGTGGCTAATGGCAAATGTGTCAGGCACTACCAACAAAACAAAACAATTAGTGCTTCCCCACTTTGTAATGGTTCATCAGTATTCTCTTATGTTAAGGATTGCACTTTCTTCTAACATATTAATACTTCATCAATCACACAAAACTCAGGGAGAGGTAAGGTGCAGAGGTGAGTGTAGGGTGAGGGACACATTCTTGTTAGAATAGGCCATAGGCTGTCTGAAGAAGGCTTATGGTATTTTCTTGTAACAGAAGACAGAGCAATGAATAAGTAATTTGGCACGGTTTAGATCATAGTGACTTCATTCAAGATGAGCCTGTAGACTATGAGGTTTAAGGAATTTTTTGAAATGGAGTCAGTAGGTTAGCACAATGTAAGGCCTACCCAGTTCATCTGAAATCACCTGAAGAAGAACACTGTCAGTTGTTGCTTATGATTGAGTAGTAAGAAGCTTGAAAGCCTGTGGGAAATGTTTGTTCAGCTAAATACTTGGGAAATTTTAAGAAATTTAGCAATTTTTTTAAAAAAATCTTTTCCTCAAAGTTTTGGAATTCCCTTTCAAATAGAATGCTGAGTAAGGTTTATCAGGATGATTTAACACATCTAAAATAGTTTGTCAGGTGCAAAGGACATTCACTATGCATAATAGTCCCAGGACTTTAAAAATAGTCTGATTCAAATAGGGTTTTTATCATTATTTAACATCTTTAATAATAAAAGGGTATATGCTAATTAGACTGGATGTCCTTCCGGAGGTAGCCAGGGCCAGAGGGAAGTCAACCCGTGTCCTGGGTGCCTGTGGGCCTCCTGAGAGAAGGAAGCCAGGGTCCTGGATGCCAGAGGGAAGCCAGTGCTGGCAGCTGGGGGAAGGAAGGCCTACTCTTACATGAATTTCATGCATTGGGCCTCTGGTTAGTTTAATAAATATAGATCACACACAAGATGCAAGGGAATAATATTAATTATAGTTCCTTTATTGAGCTTACATTTTAATAAGAAATTTATATAATTGGAAAAATTAGGATAGTTTTTTTTAACTTTCTTTCTGTTTTTTTTCTATATGGGTAGATCTTTAATCATTTTTTCTCCTTGAGAATGATTTATATTTCAAGTTTGCTCTCAGATTTCAGTGAAGCACTGCACATAGGATTTTAGCTGAGCAACCAAGAAATGAGGTGACTTCTTAATACTGTTTTCTGGTGTGGGGAAAACACTTATTCTTGATAAGTTTTTCTTATTCTGTTTCTCAGAGATTTTAATTCTTTGGATGATCAAAATGTGGAGAAGAATAACCAACTGGCCTTTGATATTGCTGAAAAGGAACTGGGCATTTCTCCCATCATGACAGGCAAAGAGATGGCCTCAGTCGGGGAGCCTGACAAGCTGTCCATGGTGATGTACCTGACCCAGTTCTATGAGATGTTCAAAGACTCGCTCCCCTCTAATGGTAAGGACTAAGGGCTCTGGTATGGGTGTCTTTCATGTTCTCTGTTGTTGCCTGGCTTTCTTTCTTTCCCTGTGTCCTATATGAGCACCCACAAAAGCAAATTTTACTGTTTTTACTAACCAGCTATCAGGGTTAAGTCTTTTGTTCTTGTTTTTTTGTTCTGGGATTTTGCTCTTGTTTTTTCCTTCTCAACCACTCATTCTTACCCAAATCTTTCTCACTATATCTATAAATATGTAAAAACCATTCCTATCCAGAATTTTTCTCTTGACTATTATTTTCTCATACTCTTTCTTTCTGAACCAGCCTTATACACACACACACACGAGGCCTGATGCACGAAATTCATGCGTTGGGGGGTGTCCCTCAGCCCAGCCTGGGGTGTCCCTCAGCCCAACCTGTACCCTCTCCAATCTGGGACCCCTTGGTGGATGTTTGACTGCCTGTTTAGATATGGATCGGGCCTAAACAAGCAATCAGACATCCTTTCACAATCTAGGACTGCTGGCTCCCAACTACTTGCCTGCCTGCCTTCCTGATTGCCCCTAACCGCTCTGCCTGCCAGCCTGATTACACCCTAACCACTCCCCTTCCAGCCTGATCAATGCCTAACTGCTCCCCTGCCAGCCTGATTGTCCCCAACTGCCCTCCCCTGACATCCTGGTCACCCCCAAATGTCCTCTCTTGCATATTCCCTCTTTATTAGATAGGATTTTTTTTTTAGCATATTGGGCAGTCCTAATTGGTTTGGCTCAGTGGATGGAGCGTTGGCCTGCAGACTCAAGGGTCCCAGGTTCGATTCTGATCATGAACATTGGTTGGGGGCACATACCCAGTGGGGAGTTTGCAGGAGGCAGCTGATCGATGTTTCTGTCTCATAGATGTTTCTAGCTCTCTATCCTTTCCCTTCCTCTCTATAAAAAATCAATAAAATATATATTATAAAAAAAAAAAAAGAAACATTTAAGATTCCTCCATGTCTGTCTGGCTGGTGTGACTCAATGGTTGAGACCTCAGGCAGCCAGCCACCTCTGAAATGGGGTCTCATACTGGCCAGACTGAGACCCCAGCCCAGGCTGTCATCTCAGCCTGGCCCGGAACAGCATAGTGGGGGTGCATGGCCCCAGCCCAGGATGCCACATCTGACCTGAAGATCTCACGGCCCTGCCAGCCTGAGACCCCAGCCAAGCTTCCGGGGCATCTGCAGCTTTGTTGCGTGGCCCTGCCATTCTGAGACCCCAGCCAAGCTGCCGCTGTGGCCGAGGAATGGCGCAGGGCGCTGGCGCCTCGCAGGCAGACACTCTGGGCTGCTGCCACTGGGCAGGGATCGCTGTGTGGTGGGTGGGTGCCTCCCAGCTAGACACCACCCTGGACTGCCTCTGCTGGGCAGACTTGAGCACCTCAGAGGGGCTAAGAGGACTGGGCATTGCCATCTTGTGGCTATGGGCGCTGCCATTTTGTTGCAGAGTGATGGTTAATTTGCATATTTTGTCGTGGAGTGATGATTAATTATTAGATAGGATATATATACACACACTTTTTTTTTTTAATTTCAGAGAGGGAGAGGTAGAAACATCAGTGATGAGAAAGAACCTTCATTGGGGTCAAGTCCGCAACCCAGAATCAAAGCGGGACCTCCAGGTTCATAGGTCAACACTAAACCACTGAACCTGGCTGAACCACCTTTTTAAAAAAGTGGGCTATGCCGAAACCGGTTTGGCTCTGGATAGAGCATCGGCCCATGGGCTGAAAGGTCCCGGGTTCAATTCTAGTCGAGGGCATGTACCTTGGTTATGGGCACATCCCCAGTAGGGGGTGAGCAAGAGGCAGCTGATTCTCTCTCATCAATGGTTTCTAACTCTCTATCCCTCTCTCTTCCTCTCTGTAAAAAAAACAATAAATGGGCTACTTCCTCAATTGCCTAAACTTTTAACACTTTGCAACCTGGCCTCTGTCTTATTCCTCTGATAGATTGTTCTCCTTGGTAATGAAGAATCACCAAATCCTTGTTTTTTTCACTTCTCATCTTTTATGCCCTTGGCTTTTTGCATTGTTCAGCATTGTGGAATGACATCTTTTGTCTGAAACTCTCTTTTCCTTGGCTTCTGTGATCCTGTACTGGACTGGCTTCGTTCTCTTCCTTCAGTAACTGTTCCTTCTTTGGCTTCTCTTTCTTCTACATTTTAGTGTTTTCCAAAAATCTTCCTTGACTCTCAGCCCAATACCTCAGTCTGTCAGGATGCTACAAAAAATATTTCTGTTGTCACTTATTGTCTCTTGGAATAGCATAATGATTAAGAGTGTTGACCTGGGTTTACATCCTAGTACTAATTCTGTTAAACCTTAGGCTAGTTACTCAGTTTTCCTGTGCTCAGTTTTCCCATCTGTAAAATGGGGCTTTTTCTAGATATAACTAGATTGTGATATACTAAGAAGAATGTTTGCAAAATGGAAACACTTAATAAATGTTAGCAATATATTATTAGTTTCAATTATTTTAAAAAATTTCTATTATTACTAATAAAACATTGGAATCCACAGTTTGTGATTCACCAGTATCTCCAAGCCCATGTATTCTCATAAGTGTTTGTAGCTTTTTCTGATTAGATACACAGTCTTTACAACAGAGGTCCACAACTCTAACATCAATGTACACATTTATGGAGAGCAACCCCCTTAGTGTGCAACCAAGTTCATGGGGTATGCATACACCAAACCAGTGATCCTGTCCTCCCTCCCTTTCTCTCTGCCCTGAAAGTTTATCACAAAGGTGAGGCTTCAACACTACTGTAACAAAAAACAAAAAGCAAAAGTGGGGGTTTTTGTGACTTACAAGGGGAAAGAATTAGTATTGTTTATGTTGATGGAAAAAAGAAGGCTCAGTGTATAAATCTAAGAATATACTTTCTTTGTAAAATTTCTTGCTTTAGTTCCTCATACTTTTGTCATAGCAGATAAACCTTTAGAGCTTTTGGAGGTTCTGGGAGCCACCTGCAGGCAAGGCAGTTCTGGTCAGTACTTTGAGGCCCCCTCTAATGCTTTCATGGAAAATTGCTTTCTGTTCACAGATGCCTTGGACTTGAGTGCTGAAGAGAAAGCAGCCTTGATAGCCAGCACCAAATCTCCTATCTCCTTCCTAAGCAAACTTGGGCAGACCATCTCTCGGAAGCGTTCTCCCAAGGTAAATGAAAAAGGTTGTTGTTTTTTACCAGCTGTATACCCAATGGCAATATATAGTGACTAGAATAATGCAGTTTGGCTACTCTCTTGGTATAGGATAAGAAGGAAAAGGACTTGGATGGTGCTGGAAAGAGGAGAAAGACCAATCAATCAGAAGAGGTGAGAATTATATGGGATTTGTTAGAATGGTTATACTCAATTGCCCTTTTTGTCTTAAAACCGTAATTTTCAAATTGATGTTGCTAGATCTTTTTATATTCACCCTTTATGAGAATTTTTAAAAAAATATATTTTATTGATTTTGTACAGAGAGGAAGGGAGAGATAGAGAGTTAGAAACATCGATGAGAGAGAGTCATTGATCAGCTGCTTCTTGCACACCCCCTACTGGGGGGTTGATCAGCTGCCTCTTGCACACCCCCTACTGGGTATAAGCCCGCAACCAAGGTACATGCCCTTGACCGGAATCGAACCCAGGACCCTTCAGTCCCCAAACCGATGCTCTATCCATTGAGCCAAACCGGTTTTGGCTATGAGAATTTTTGTGAGCAGATGCTTTTTCTGTGGGCTTTTGCCTTTGTTTATTTTTTTTGTAGAGCATCCAAAGGAACATGCACCAGAGCTTTCCTGTCTCTTTGGAATCACACATCTGGCAAAGGGCATTGGCTTTCCTGGGGTGTGATAATCCCAGTAAAAGTCTGAGTACCTCTTTGTACTCAGACTGGCCATCTTGAGATTAGAACTTTGAGGAGAGCTGTTATGGTTAATCTAAAGCAGAAATACTAGCCACCATGCCAAATCCTAGCTGTATTTTTCCTTTGAGGGAAGGGCATTTGGGGGCTTCTCTAACAGAGGCTGGTTCTTTGGTGTTGATATTGATCAGGAGGAAGTACCCTCTGTGTGCAGAGGAAGATCCACATTAGTGAGTACTCTGCCTGACAGGAGGACTGATGTCACACTCAGCAACCAGAACAAAGTAAAGTACATGGCAACCCAGCTGCTGGCCAAGTTTGAAGAGAATGCACCTCCACAGTCCACTGGCATAAGGAGACAGGTAAACGCATCTCACGCCTTGCTCATCCACACTTGATCTGGCTACATAGGAATGAGGTACCTTTTCAATTGAATGAGATGGGATATTTTACAGACCCGAGGAATCATGGGCTCAAGACTGGTGTCTGATTCTCCCCATGTCTTAACTGTGGCAGAAGAGAACATTTCAGAAGTTCCTCATGCTTTCAGTACTGCTTCATCCTCACCATTCAGGTCTGAGGTATCTGTGACAAAACTCTGCAGAGGGATTTTTAAATTATATGTATATACCTATTCATACATATATGTTCACATTTAAATTATTAAAAACATACATGCTTATTAAGGAAGATGTTAAAAAGTGATAAAGGGTAATTAAAATATCTCCAATTCTGTTAATATTTTGTTATAGTTCTTTCTGATCTTTTTTTCTTTAATGTATTCTTATTTTCATAGTTGAGGTCCATTCTTATCATACACTTTTCCATTCTGCTTTTTTTCATGTAACTTTGATCATATTCCCACATCATTCCAAACTCTTTACAAGCACCTTTAAGTGTGTGCCATGCTTCTCTTAACTCTCCTTTATGCTGGATGTTCAGTTGTTTCTTATCAACAAATATTCTTGTTACAAACTGCTTTTTTTGTGTTGCAGATGACTTTAGTAGGTTGTCCTTGAACTAGGTTGAGAATATGAACTTTTTTTTTCTTTTTGAGAATATGAACATTTTAAAGATTCTTCATGGATTCTTGCATTCTCTCAAGTCATGCCTGACAGTGCTGGACAGAAAGCCTTGTCTCTCCTCCTGCTTATCTAAAAGTCATTAAGACTTCTTTCAAGAGGAAATGCTGGGATTTTGAAATTTACACTTAAAGTTTCTTCTGAAAGTTCCTGGTGGTTTGAGAGAACCCATCCTCTGCATCCTTTCCCGCTTTCTTCATCTTCTCCACATGCATTAATGGTTGTTCTTGTGGATGGACTAGGGTGGGCACTGACTTACTGACTGTGCTTGGAGTCTGGCCTTAATCAACTTCTCACATCTAGCCATTGGTTATGGCTCACAGAAAAGATGATGATATTCATTCCCTGTTGGCTCTGGCAGCCCAGGTCCCACCCACCTTGGGAAGGCTGGAATTATTCTCCATTAGAGAAAGTTTGCCTCTAAGAGATAGTTGCTTCCTCATTTTGAGTGAAAGATTAGTTTTCCAAATCAGAATTAGTAGTTTAGGCTTATAATATTGAGCTAGGGAAAAGGATAATGATAATTACAGCTTTTGTTTTTCCTTTTTTATTTGTTTACATTTGCTTTTGGTTTTGGTTTGGGGAACAGGGTATTTGCTTTCCTTTATAAGCAAAGCTTTCTAAAAATTCTGTCTTCACCACCACCCCAGTATATTGATGTATGTCTATCTTCCACAAATACCTTTTTTGTACCTTCTTCTTTAACATATTTTATTTTGTTTTGTCTCCCATGTCTTGTCCCCCACCCATACTTGGCCTGTGTGTCACAGCCAACACAAGAGCATGGGGTCAGCCAGCCGTCCTGCTGCCTACCTGATCAGGGTCTCTCTGCTCCCACCCCACAGTGGAAACAGGTAAAGGAACTATCCAGAAACCAGAATGGGCGCTGCATCCCCAGGCCTTCCCACCCTGTTCCTCCTTCTGAGCCAGCCAAGGTAGAGGCCTGTACTCTAGAATCCCAGCTTAAGCATAGGACACCTCTGTGCCCATTTGAGTAATGACTCTGATAAAAGTGTAATAAACAATACTGTTTGTATTGCATGATTTGTTTAACTCCTTGAGATTTGAGAAACTAGTTAGCAGGGTGGGCTGTCAATATTATGAAACTAGCAGGAGCTATGTGGTTAATTATTCCGGTACCTTTGGGGTTTTGCTATTACAGTTTATTCCAAGTTGACTTCTTGTTCATATGACCATGTTAAATAGGAAAATGTTATCCAAGAAATGACTTGAACTATAATTTTTATTTGGTTCAGAACCTAGACAAAGATTCTTTTTATAAAGCTGCTTTTGTGTGTTGCAGATGACTTTCCTAGGCTCTCCTTGAACTAGGTCGAGAAATTTGGCATTTTCTTGTGTTTTGTATACATTTAAAATACTCTTTTTAGAAATTTTCACTGAAGTAGTTAGTTGTAGGATCTCCTAGAAAGCTGCTTCTCATAAGCAGTACAGAATAGGACAGAAAGAGGAGGAATGGCACTGGTTGATAATAAGAAACATCAGGGGGGACTGGAGGCCTCTATTGTACCTCCTCCACATCACAGCTGACAAGTTCCCGCTCCAGTGAGTGTACTGGACTTGTCTTTTGGGTTCGTATCATTTAAGACTAAGATTTTGAGAGGTCAAAGGAATATGCCTTTGATAACTTCTTTTACTATAGAGTGACAGCCATTGCTGGGAAGCACTGAGGGGTGACTGGGTGGATAATGTTCTCTCCCCCCCCCCCCCCCAACCTTTCTTTTAATAAAATGCTGCATTAAAAGCAAGCTCATGAGGCTGAGATGGAAGCTTGGGAACAATGTCCAAACTCATGAAGCCAAGCTGCCTCTTTCCCTCTGCTAGGATGAGATTTGTTCAAGAGTGCTCATTAGAAATTTACTACCATTTTCTTTCCTCACCCTTTCTTTAAAGTCTAGGTGGAAGGTATAATTAAAAGGTAATCTTCAGTTGAGGATCACAGAAGGGGAACATGAACTCTAACCTAGACCTCCTGAACTTCAGATTCTCACAGTACTCACAAAGGCATCAGAGAGGGAGAGCAGAGAGGAAAGGAGGGTAACTGTAATACATGCAGAGGGATGAACAAATGACTCAATGGCATGTGCCTGGGCCACTGTGGGTGAACTTGCAAAGAAGTCTTAGGGGCAGGAAGTGTGACCCGAGGAGCCTGGCCCAGCTGAGGCCTCTGTCCTGGTGAAGATTGGCACATCAGCTCACTGCCTGATGCAGCCTTCCTGAGGGATATAAGGAGCTTAGTGTTTATGGGCTTTCTTGTGTTTTTCATGTTTATGAAGGATCTGGCCTCATCCACAGTACTACATGTAGATGAACAGCTAGCTTGTCACCTGGGTAAATAGATGGTCAAAATTACTGATGTAGAATACTGCTAAGCTGTGCAGGCAACAGACTAGAGCCATTAAATCCAAACATGGTTTCTGTGGAGTGGGTCCCAGAGATGACAGTTAGAAAGAGCACCTGAGTGAATAAGTGATAAACCATGAGCAATGAAAATCCTGTTAGATCCTGTGTGCTTCTTTTTATATATACTTGGGAATTGTAAATTTACTTGGCTGTGAACTATAATTCACAGTTCTTACATCCATGTGAAATGTATTGTATTCACATATAATTTTTTCTCAACACTAAAGCAGGAATGGTTTCATGAATCTTGGCCTTGTAAATGTCTCTCTAAAAAAAATAAAATATTGGAAAGCAATGCCAGATGCTACAGAAACCTATGGTCAGAGGGACTCCAGTGGTGCATTGGAGCCCTCTGCTTCTGACTCACCCTAACTGCCAACCCCATTTAACACCCTTTAGGAATTGGGCAGGGGCTGACTGGCAGCACCTTATCATGATTCACTTTGTGTTTCTCTTGAAGTGGTTCAAGAGAGGCAGGAGGGTATGGCAAGCACAGCAGTGATGGCTGAGTTGGCACCAGGACCAGTTTTTACTTAGGTCATAGTATGAGAGGGAAATGAATAATAATGCTGCTTATCTGTGACTTCTGTTTTTTACCTTCCTGTGTATACATTTTGGTTCTTCCCTCTCCACCCTTTTGTCTTTTGATCTCAGAAGTGCATCCTACAGGCAAACTCCTCATTATCCAGCCTAGGTTTACAATTAGGTTGTCATGAGAAGTGGGAACAGATAGGGGAATTGCTTCCCTATCCCACTAGTTCTCTAAGATCTGTATGTTGGACCCACACAGTCTTTTTGGGCTCAATGAAGTGAGGATTCCTCTGACCTAGGAGTATGCGATTATTTACTAAGTCCTGCAGGGTTCTCAATCATAGGTTCTCAAGGAAAAAGATAAGGCAAGATTGAAGAGGGATAAGATGGGGAGATAATTTGTTGGCATAGGTTTGTTTTCAGGTAGTGGAAGATATTTAAATTTTTTAAATATATTTTATTGATTTTTTTACAGAGAGGAAGAGAGAGGGATAGAGAGTTAGAAACATTGATGAGAGAGAATCATTGATCAGCTGCATCTTGCACACCCCCTACTGGGGATGTGCCCGCAACCAAGGTACATGCCCTTTGACCAGAATTGAACCTGGAACCTTTCAATCCACAGACCTATGCTCTGTACACTGAGCCAAACCGGTTTCGGCAGATATTTAATTTTTATATCCTATTTTCTGTACTTTCTTGCATTTCCTTGGTGGTTTTCCAGAACCTTTTCAGTATGAGGGGACTCAGAAGAGGAAATAATGGCAAGATTTTCTCATAGTTGGTCCCAAAGGAGAATGCTGCTCTGCTCCTGTTGGGTGGCAGGTGATAATCCATTGGGAGGGTCTGCATGACTCCCTTCTGATGATTGTCTGTGTGTCCTTTCTCTCTATTTATAACCAAAGTCATGTTTTATGTCTTCCTACTTTGATGATATATAGTCTTGATCCCTGGTGTTTAGAAAGTACTACACCCCAAGATAGCTGCACTTAATAAACAGCGGGAGTCTGACCTGAAGACCAACAACAGGCTATGACACACCACCCTCCCTGACCATACAGTGATTTGCTGTTGAGGATGGAGGGGCAGGGAAGGGGGGACTCTGATATGTTTTTTGCAAATACCTCTTTATCCTTCTAGAACCAGCCTAAATATGGTCACTGTTTCACCAGTGTTTTTTCTGTTTGTATCTGTTGGTATAAAAGCAACAGGAAAAGGAGCATTCTCGGACCTGCCCCAAAAAAGTGATCGCACTCTCTCCACCCCCTATTCCACCTCCCTGTCGGGCACATGGCAGCCAGCAGGTGACCTCCTCTGCATGCTCCGTTGTCCTGTCTGTGTCTTTCTGCCTGCCTTTGTAGGTGGCTAGGGTAGAGACTAAATCAGGATTCCTTCCTTTCAATTATAATTTTAAAAAAATAGAAAAAAACACTTGTAGAAACCATTTTTGTAGCAATAGCAACCTTTATTGCTACAAATGAGCAAATTCCTGATTAGACCTCAGAAGAGTACAAATTGCGTTCAAACCCTGGGTGGTTTAATCTATCCCATGTCATGGGAATACAACCATACAATCACAAACTAAAATTTATACTATATTAGTCACAGACATGAGTCCAAACCCTGGAGAGCAACATATTTTTATATAACCCTATTTAAAACACCCATTTTTGCCTTGCTACCGAAGGAGATTGAGCTAAGATGAACTTTTGGAAGCTTTTTATAGGGTTTCACTTTGTGAGTTTGCTTCCTTCTGATTTTGATAACCCTGCCTCTTGCTTATCCAACTTCTCCCGACAAACACTTGCCCTTCCCATCCGCCCCATTCACACTTAGGCAGATCATTCAAAACTGCTTTATAGTAGAGTTAACTGGGGCAACAAGGATGACAAGCATATATTTGTGGCAAGCACACTTACATAAAGTATATTTACAGAATCGCTTTGTTGACCCTTATAGTCTATTGCTATAAAATGAAATTCAAATTTTAAACGTAGGATCTATTGGAAGGCATTTTCTCAACCAAGGTGGCCTATTTTAAAAGTGACTCCCCCATAATGTGTCTGATTTTTAAAGGCCCAACCTGTGCCGCTGGGTCTAAGAACTGAGCTGCTGTAGGTGTAGTGCTACCCTGTCCCTTCTCTCTACATAAGAGCTAATATTTAGGAGCATTCACTGTGACTTAGGTAGTATTCTAGGCTCTTTTCATGTGTGATATCAAGCAGTTCTTAACAATAACCTTACAAGACTGGTACTATTTTTATTTTTTTTTTAATTTTAAAATACAAACCCTTGTGTCAAGGGCAGACTTTCAATAGATCGCAGCGAGGGAGCTGCTCTGCTACGTACGAAACCCGACCTAGAAGCAGGTCGTCTACGAATGGTTTAGCTCCAGGTTCCCCACAAACGTGCGTTGCGTGAAGGGCGTGGGGGCGGCCCCCTTTCCGGCCGCACCCCGTTTCCCAGTTCGAAGGGCTCTCCGCACCGGACCCGGTCCCGACGTGCGGAGGAGCACGCGAAAGACTGGTACTATTATCTCTATTTTACAGATGAGGAGATTGAGTCATAGAGTAGGGAGGTAATTTGTACAAGGTCACACAGATGGTCCAGGAACAGATTCTGGATGGTGTGACTCTGGAGCCCAAACTCTGCCCTCATCCTGCCTGTGGAGACAATATGCTCATGGGCTCTGGACAAGAGTAGACATACCGGAAACTTTGGATCAGTTACACACCAGGACGAGGCCATAAGTGAATTTTCAGTTATCCAAAGAGTGACAGGAGCGGCAATTTCTGAACCTCTACCCCTAGGATTGCTGCTTGAGTGGTTGTCTCAAATCAGCAGAGGCAGCCATGTCCTGTCTTACAGGTTCCTACCCAGTCACATGTATTTTCCTGCGTAC